AGAGGCTTTCCAAAATAGAAGCATACATGAAGGTGATCTAAATGAAAGCACCAAAGAATGGGGGAGACAGAGCCCCAACTGAACATCTCTTGTCACCAAATGAAGCTTCCAGTACCGGGACTGGGTTATTTATATCTAACTGAGTTGTTGGCCAAAGGAGTCGAATGCCTACATTCTAGTGTCTTTGATACAGGAAGGTACTCTGCACTCTACCAAAAGAAAAACGTAAATACCAAGCCAGCCACAAACCCTTTGATCTACAATGGTGTCCTACCTGCAAGACACACTACTTCAATGGTGGTACAAAACTTGTGGGAGTAACCAACCGATATCTGATTTGACTTAAGAACCACTCCACAAAATAGAACCCATATCCAACATTGCTTGGGTGATCAAGAACCAAACACTACATTAGACCAGGGACCTAGGGTAAAATCAAATACTATGGGTCTAAAAAGAAAGAAAAAAAGTAGCAATAAAATGACTCCAATGACATTCTGCTACACTCAAAGATCAGTGCCTTGCTCAACCATCATCAGAGAGGCTTCCTCCTGCAGCGGATGGGAACAGACACAGAGACACACAGCCAGACATTATACAGAATGAGAAACCATGGAATACTCAGTCCTAAATGGGATGTCTGCATCAAATCCCTCCTCTCAGAGTTCAGGGAACCCCTAGAAAGAGGAGGCAGAAAGAGTGTAAGAGCAGGACTGGATGGAGGACATCAGGAGAACAGTCTCTCTAAATCAACATGGGCAAAGCTCATTTGAACTCACAGAAACTGAAGTAGTACGCTCAGGGCTGCATGGGGCTGCACCAGGTCCTCTGCATATACATTATGGCTTCCAGTTTAGTGTTTTTATGAGATTCCTGACTGTGAATGAGTGGGTCTCTGATTCTTGTGCCTTTTCTTGGGCTCTTTTCCTTCTGTCTGTTTCTCTTATCCAATTCCAATGTGATAGTTTTTCTTCTATCTTATTATATTTTATTTTGTTATAGTATATTATTATCTCTTAGAAGTCTGTTTTCGAATGAGAGACAGAGGGGAGTGAAACTGGATAGGAGGGGAGGGGAGGAGGAGCTGGGAAGAGTAGAGGGAGAGGAAACCATAATCTTATTTTCAATAAAGGGGGAAAAAAATAAAAGGAATACAAATACAAAAGAAAACTTCCTGTTTGCAGACAACACAACCCTCTATTTAGAAGACTCCTAAAGACTCTACCAAAGACTTTCACCAGGTAAGTCAACAGAGGTGTTTTCATAGGATGCTAGGGATTTGAACTCAGGTCCTTACATTTTTGAAACAAGCACTTGACCCACTGAAACATGTCCCCAGCCCTTATGAATATTTTAAGTTAGGATACAAAGCAATTAATTTCATGATGGCATTTTCATGTGTCATTATATTTTGTTCTAATTTTCACTCTCCCTCATCCCTGCCTTCTTGCAGGTGCCCGTACAGCCCTCCCCAATACAGTTTCCTGTTCTGCTTTCAGGTTACATTATCCTGTTTTTCCCTGAACTCCCCGCTTAGTATATCTTCCTCCCCACTCTCAGTCTACTTCCTAATTTAATGACCTATAAACTCACACACATATATAAAACACATACATACACTTATGAACTTGAATCTAGGTTCTACATATGAGAGAAAATGTGTCTGAGGAACTTGATTTTTTACAAAAGTTCCAAAATCATGCTTTGGAGAAAAGATAGCCTTTTGAGCAAACGGTGCTGGCAAACTGGACATCCACATGTTGAAGAGTGATAGCTTACCTCTCACCCTGTCCTAGAATCACAGGCCTTAATGTAAGACCTGAACTTTGAGACTTCTAGAGGGAAATGGGAAAGACTTCCATACAGGCACAGGCAAACGGAACACATCAAATTTAAAGCCCTGAACAGCAAAGCAAGCCATTAACAGTAACAAGAGAACCTATGGTGCGAGGTTTGTCAGCTATTCCATCTGACCAGAGCTGTACCCAGAAAAGAGAAGGAACTCAGACATTAAACCCAGGCTGGCAAGATGACTCAAGTAACGAACAGTGCTGGTTACCAAGCCTGATGAGCTCGTTCCAAGCCTGGAACTACACAGTGGAAGGAAAATCAACCCTCACAGGCTTCTCCTCACCTCTATACATGTGGTAGCACATCATGTACACACATGCATGCACACACACACACGCACGCACATACAATAAAAACAAATACCAAGAAAACAAATAATCCAATCAAAAAATGGGCAAATGAGGGGGTTGGACAAATGGCTCAGTGGTCAAAAGCACTGGCTGCTCTTCCAGAGGTCATGAGTTCAATTCCCAGCACCCACATGGCAGCTCACAACCACCTATAACTATAGTCTCATGGGATCTAATGACCTCTTCTGATGTACAGATAAACATGCAGACAAAACATTCATATAAACTAAAATCTTTTTTAAAAATAGGCAAATGGCAATGGTACAGACAATGTCAAAGGTACAAAAGGGCCATCAAGCAATGGTTCAGCAGGTAAGAGCCCTTCCCACAAAAGCCTGGCAACATGAATCTGCTCCTTGGAACTTTCCTGAAGATGAGAAACTGACTCCACAGAGCTGTCCTCTGACCTCCAACACACACACTTTCCTAAGGCAGATAAATACATGAAAAATGTCTACAACCAACATCTACAGCCAGCCATCAGGAAAATGAAATGCCTTGCAAAACCATATTGAGCTAGGTGTGGTAGTACACGCCTTTAAACTCAGCACTCAGGAGACAGAAGCAAGATCTCACCATAGTCAGAATGGCTATCACCAAGACAAATGCACTGAATCTCCTCAGAGCTCTATTAATAAACTCGTATAGCAATCATGGAAATCATATAGAGGTTCCTTAAAAAGAACTATACTATATACTATACTATCCAGCTACACACTCCCAGCATTCACCAAAGGGATCAAAGTCAGCATACCACAGAGATACCTGCATACCTATATCTATCTTCAAACTGTTCACAATAGCCAAGATATCCATCAACAAATGAATGGATCAAGAATACGTGGTGTACACACAGACACACGCACACACATCATATATACTGGTTATTACTCAGCTGTAGAGAAAAATGGAGGGCTGATGTCCTAACTTCCAACTGCTGTGATAAAACACTGACTAAAAGCACTTGGGAGACAGAAGGATTTATTTGGTTTATATGTCCATATCAGAGTGTGTCACCAAGAGAAGCCAGAGCAAGCACTCGAGGCTGGAACTTGGAGGTAGAGCAAAGGCAAGGACTACAGGGAACGTTGCTTACTGACTCAGTTTTCCTGCTTCTATTCAGCTGGTTTTCTTTTCTCTTTTTTTCTTTCTTTCTTTTTTCTTTTCTTTTCTTTTTTTTTTTTTTTTGAGACAGGGTTTCTGTGTAGTTTTGGTGCCTGTCCTGGATCTTGCTCTGTAGACCAAGCTGGTCTCGAACTCACAGAGATCTGCCTGGCTCTGCCTGACGAGTGCTGGGATTAAAGGCATGCACCACCACCGCCAGGCTCAGCTGGCTTTCTTATACAACCTAGGCCCACCTGCATAGGAGCAGCACCACCCCCAGTGGATCAGGACCTCCTCGTCACTAAGCAATCAAGAAAACACGCACAGACATGCCCACAGGCCAGCTGACTCCTTCCTCCCAGGTGTGTCAAGTGAACAACCAAAACGAGCCACCACAGCCGTGGAGACAGCTCAGCAGGGAAGTGCTTGCCATGGTGTGAGGATCTAAGTTTGATGAACAGAAGTAATAGGAGGTGGATGGAGATGCGTGTGTATAGTGGTTCCTACCCGTAAACCTAGCACTGAAGACGTAAAGACAGGGAGGGCTTGCTGGCCAGCTAGCTATCTAGTCTAACTGGTGAGCTTTAGGCCAGTGAGAGACTCTATCTTAACACACAAGACAGATGGTTCCTGAGAATGACACACTCAGGCAAGCATGCACAACTACACACCCGAACACACACACTAAGAAAAAGGGGACGTCATTTCAGGAAAGCAGATGAGACTGGAGATCGTCTAGTACACTAGATAAGCCAGCCTCAGAAAGACGTGGTTACAAGTTTTCTCTCTCATGTCAAATTTGGGGTGGGGGGGAGGACACAAAAGTAGACTGAGACTAATGAAGAATGAGGGAGTTGGAGGATGGAATGGAGAGGATAACACAGGATAAGGGGGTGGTGAGTGTGGCCCAAGTCTATTACACAGATGTATGGAATGTCACAATGACACCTGTTTTCTGTGCAATTAATATATATGGATAAACTGTTAAAACAACAGAGAAGGGGCTGGAGAGATGGTCAAAAGCACAGCGTGCTCTTCCAGAGGACCCGAGTTCTGTTCTCAGCACCCATGTCAGGTGGCTCCCAACGGATTCCCGAGGATGCGTTGCCTCTGGCCTCCACAGGCATCCACACACATGCACAAAGACACACATATAGACATGATTAATTTTCTTAATCTCTAAAAGCAGAGAAAAAATACAAAAACTTGACAGCAGCTATTCTGACATTTACAAAGGTGAAAAGTTAATGAATATTCACGAACAACGAAGTTTAGACTACCTGCAAACACAGAAAGAGAATTTAGTTTCTACATGAAAAGGAGTGTGAAGAGTCCACAGAGCCTAACCTTGGTTGATGCCCAGGGATGGGCTACACAGGACTGGAGCTTGCTTCATACCGCACACCACAGGGTTGTGGATATATTTACAAAGTGTATCTTTCAGCTTCTTGTGAGTATGCAATTATTCCAAAATAGTTTACTTAAAAACAAAACAAACTGTGTATTGCTTTTGCAGCCAGAAAATGAAAAGGATGTCATTTTTCTAATTACATGGACTAAAAATTCAAGTGAAATCAGAAATAATTGTCAAAGTTAAATCTTGATACTTGCACTTCTGTCTTCATCCAATTTTGATATTTTTACCCCAGAGTGCATTAAAAAACACAAGACAAATCCAAAAATATTTTGCTTTACCTTTTAGCTACTGAAGGTCTTCTATGTCCTAAATGGCGCCTGATCAATGAAAACATCTTAAGTCCTGAAAAGATATTTCAACAATTAAATCATAAGATCATTTTTTACAACATCAATACCAGCAGCAATGCCTGTTTCCAACCCACACTCCCACCCTGCAATTGTCAATTCAAAGCACACACAACAAAAAACTAACAATTACAGCCCAGAGACACTTTATGAATTCCATTTCTGTGCAAGAGAAAAGAAAAATGCCAAAATGAGATTGCAGAACAGGACAGAGGAAGTATAAGCTAAGAACCACAGTGGCGATGGATAATTTTTAAAACTGGGGGTGCAGCTCCCTGGTGGAACACTTGCCTAGCATCACAAGGTCCAGGTTTAATGCTCAACACCCCCAAAGCCTTAAGAAAACCTGAACTTGATTTCACTGATTTTGGCTGCCCTTTGCTGAGTCTTCTCCCTCAGTGCCACACGCTGCTGGACAAAGGTGACAGAGAAAAGCCATGTCACCAAAGCACCACAAAACACCTGTTATTTAGGCCCAGCAAGGGTTTTTTCCCCTTAATCAACTGATTTACTAGTAAGCCTCCTAAGAGGAGATGAAATGCCTAAGACTAAAAGGGAGAAACAATGAAGCTTGGAAATAAGAAGAAACACTAAGGAACCCTTTCTATTAAAATATACTTCATGTTACCTTGGCTTATTTCTTTCATGCTAGAGACTGACACTCACGACACACACAACTGTAAGCCCAGCACTTGGAAGACTGAGAGCTCCTTGGTGCTACCTAGTGCTAGAGTTGCCCAACGTGAGAGAAAATCCCGAGTTCAATCCTCAGAATGGGCGAAAGGTGAACTTTATGGCGGTCTTTTTGGACATCCGCAGTTGTGTGACCACCATAAAAAGAAATGCAATGGCCAGCTCTACTTTTCCCTCTTCTCAGCCCCCAATAACTAAAACTAGTCTGTCTTGAGGAACTGTCTATTCTGGACATTTCACATAACGGAATCCAAGAGCACGTCCTCTTCTCTTATGTCTGGCTTTTTCTACTCAGCACACTTTCAAGACATCTGCACTATAGAATATAGTACCTTTTCTTCCTATGGCTGAGGAAGATTCCACTGTTCAGACGGTGACAGGTGTTTGGTTATTTACACTTCTTGACTATTATGAATAAGGCCTTTACGAATTCTTGTTTACATGATTTATATGAACCTTTTTTATTTCTTCTTTTAAAAAAAAAGACAGGGTTTCTCTGTGTATCAGCCCTGGCTGTCCTGGAACTTACTCTGTAGACCAGGCTGGCCTCGAACTCACAGAGATCCGCCTGCCTCTGCCTCCCGAGTGCTGGGATTAAAGGTGTGCACCACAACGCCCGGCCATCCGGGGGCGGTGTTCCCTGTCAGCCTGGGCTACAGAGTAATCCTATCTCCAAAAAACAAAAAGGATTCCATAGACACTCCTTCAACATGCACATGGGACACAAAGCACATGGCAGCTCAGGACCGGCTGTGACCGGAAAGATCAATGTAAAGCAAAACCAAAAGAAGCCATTTCTTTCCTGCATAAGGATGCCTACTATTAAAAAAAAAAGTTAGGAATATAAAATGGCAAGGCCATGGTAGAAAAAAATTACCAGATCACCATTATGACCCAAATAATTCCACATCTTGGTATGCATCCAAAAGAACTGAAAGCAGATCCTTAAAATGTTATGATCGTGGACATACTTGATCACAGCATGCACACCATAACCAAGACCACACACTGCTGGACAGTCAGGACGTGGCATACAAATTCAAAAGACTACAGTCACCAGCTATTCAGGAGACAGAGGGATTACAAATTCACAATCAGCCTGAGCAAATGCGCGAAACCACAGGTCTCACGTTAAAAATCTTTTAGTGGGGGGTAGCTGGAGAGGTGGCTCAGCAGTTAAGAGTACTGGCTGCTCTTGCAGAGGACCTAGGCTGGATTCCCAGCACCCATACAGTGGCTCACAACGGCCTGTAACTCCTGTTCCATGGGATCTGCTACCCTCTTCTGTCCTCTACAGGGACCAGGCATACACATGGTGGGCAAACAGACATACATGCAGGCAAAACACTCATACAATAAAAATATAAAGATAGAAAATTTTTAAATAAGCCTTTTAATGATGTTATTATTTTGAATTATGTATTTGTGTCTAAGTCTGTGTGGGTATACACACATGGATGTGGGTACCCACAGAGGCCAGAAGCACCAGACCCTAGGACAGGAGTCACAGGTGGCTGTGAGCCTCTGGATTTGGCTGCTAGAAACTAAACTCATGTCCTTTGCAAGAGCAGCAAAGCATTCTTAAGCACTGAGCACAAGGCCTGCACAGGTCTAAGCCAGATGGGGTCCCAGTGCTGTGAGCAGAAGTGGACACAAGCCCCCACTCCTACTGCAGAAGCTATCTCCAACTGATAACCAGCTGCAAAGGAAAAATTAGTTTTCTCCAACGGGGTCTCACTGGTTAGGCCCCATGCCCAACGGTAGATGGCCAACACAAAATGAGCTCAATGTTTTAAGAGGTTTTCTGTCACAAAATGCTTTGTCTGGGCTTTTCATTTGTTTTACCTTACAGGTCTTCTGCTTATATATTATGATTTCCAATGTTGTGTTTTTATGGCATTTCTGTGTGTGCAATATCTGTCTGTCTGTCTGTGTTTCTTGTGCTCTTCTTGGCTTTTTTCCTGTTTTTTGTTTGTTTGTTTGTTTTTGTCCTACCCTGTTTTGTTGGCTTTTATTTTATCTGATTTATTATTATTATTTTATTTAGATGCCTGTTTTCTAATGAGAGAAGGAAAGGGTATGGATGGGGGGGGCAGGGAGGTGGGGAGGATCTAGGAGGAGTTGGGGGAGGGGAGACCATACAATATACTGCATGAAAAAAATTTATTTTAAGTTTGTTTGTTTATTTTTGTTTTTTCAAGACAGGGTTTCTCTATGTAGCCCTTGCTATCCTGGAACTCACTCTGTAGACCAGGCTGGCCTCGAACTCAGAGATTCAACTGCCTCTGCCTCCCGAGGGCTGGGATTAAAAAGATGTGTGTCACCACCACCTATATATTTTCAATTTTAAGAAAGGGGGAAAAAATAAAGTTTTAAAAACTTAAAAAAAAAAAAAAAAGACAAAGCTCACTCAGTATGTCTCAGTGGCCTCAGTGGCCGAACACTTTCTACAGTACAGCAAAAGAAAACCCAAGAGTATTACTCAGCCTTAAGGAAGAAAGTCTGACACATACTGCAACATGGACAAGCCATAAAGACATCCAAAGGACAAAGAGCTATAAACATTACTGTGTTCCACGTGTACGAGATACCTAGATTAAATCATGAAAAGAGAGCAGAATGGTGCCTGGCAGAAACTAACGGAGGAAAAATGGGGAGTTGGTTAATAGGTAATAAATTTCACTTTGGCAAGATAAAAAAAGCCTTACAGTTAGATCTGTTTCACGACAATGTGAATATACTTGACACTGAGATATGCAGCTGAAATGGTGACGGGGTTAGGAGAGGTTAGAAGGAGAGAATGGCTAAGACGGCAAATCCTAAGTGTTTTTAACCACATTAAAAAAACAACTGTCGTAGTTTCATTCTGTTGCTGACCAAAAGCTCCTTAGCGAGGAAAGGGTGTCTTTGGCTTACACTTCCAAGTCATATACTCCATCACCGAGGGAAGTCAGGGCAGGAACTTAAAAAGCAGGAACCATGCAGCACACCACTTGCTGGCTCACTCACAGGCTCACATTCAGCCAGCTCTCTCTACAGCCTAGAACATCTGCCCAGGGAATGGAGCTGCCCACAAAAGGCTGGGCCCTCCCACATCAATTAGATATGTCCCAAGAACAACACGATAAAGACCATTTCAAATGAGACTTCAATACTAACTAGGAACAACAATCCATAAGAGAAACAAACCAAACCCCACAAGAGCATACCGCTTCCCTCCCGCTAAGATGGCTGTAACGAAGAAGACAGATTCGAGGGTGGGCAGTGCAGGTCAACGTCCTAAGAATGCACAAGGCCCTGGCTGCTACGTCCAGCCCCAAAAGTACTGATGAGAATGCAAAGCACTCAGGATCCTCATAGACTGAAGACTGGCAGGAATACAAAATGGTATTAAAGCGTCAGAAAGTGGTGTGGCATGTCCTCAAAAAGGCAAACATAACTTTACTGTATGACCTAATGATTCCACTCTTACTTTTCCAAGTGAAATGAAACACAGGTCCAAGAATGTTCATAGCAGCATTAGTCGTAATAGCTACAAACTAAACAATTTAGATGCCCATGAACTTGTGAATGCATTGAAATACATACATACATACATACATACATACATACATACATACATAAAAAGATTGGGCATGACAGTGCACATCCGAAATCCCAGGTGGCTACAGTGTGAGACTTATTTGAGACCCAAAGTTCAGAACCAGTATAAGGTGATCCCATTTCAAAAAACACAAGAAGAAAAAAAGGAAAACCAAAGTGCAACAAAAAGGAACTAAGTCTCGCAACATGCTATAAGATGACTGAACTTCAAAAAACACTATGCTAAAAGCCAACTACAAGAAAAATTAGTAATGAAATCAGACTTACAAGTTAGACAAGGGGCCCAAGGCAGCCACTTAGGTTTTGTTTTTGTTTGTTTTCGTTTTTTGCCAGTCAATTTCCATCAACTACTAAGCTAAGTCCGAAAACAGTTAAAAATACATATTCATGAAACAAGATTTGGGCCATTTAAACGGCTCAGAGAGTAAATGTGTATGTTATCAGGCCTAACAAGGTGAGCTCCCTGACTTCCCATTCAACCACAGAACACCTACAATGGAAGGAGAAAACCTCTGACATCCACACACTCATGAGCCCACACATACACATACCAAATAAATAAATGTGGGGGAAAAAAAAAACTTTCCCGGGCGATAGTGGCGCACACCTTTAATCCCAGCACTCAGGAGGCAGAGGCAGGCGGATCTCTGTGAGTTTGAGGCCAGCCTGCTCTACAGAGCGAGATCCGGACAGGTACCAAAAATACACAGAGAAACCCTGTCTCAAAAAACCAAAAAACCAAAAAAAAAAAAAAAAAAAAAAAAAAAAAAAATTCAATAGACAAAATAGTAACGATCTTCTTTACAATTCTTTATAAGTAAAAAAGAAAAATACTGTAGCAGTCCGATTATATATGTGAAAAAAAATGTCTTTCTACAAAAAAAAAAAAAAAAAAAATCTGGAAACAGGGTCACCCCACCAGCCAGTTCACTGTCCCCAGAACTGGCAAAATGAAACCTCTTAGAAGCAGCAGATTCCCGCACTTTCTCAACAGAGGGCAGCACTGAAATCAGCACTGAACTGCGGGCTGCCGGGAAGCCCGGGCAGAAGGTGCTGACTCAGCAAAAGCCTTCGCTTCCACGTCAGAGCCAGAATGAACGCAGATCAAAAACAGCAAAGAGCGGGAGGGGGCACCGAAGAAGGAAGGGCTGCTCCTGCAAGGCACTTTCTAGAGTCAAAGACCCTCCCAGGCACCAGGCCATAAAACAAGGCCCAATGGTGCCACTTTCCTCCCTTCTTTCTTGAGACAAGGTCTCACCGTAGCCCTGGCTGTCCTGGAACTCCCAATGTAAACCAAGCTGGCCTTGAACTCGGAAGATCTGCCTGCCCCTGTAGGATTAAAAGCCTGTACCATCATGCTCATCAAACATTCTAATTATTAAAATGCTTCTTGGGGTTGGGGACCTAGCTCAGTGGTAAAGTGCTTGCCTAGCAAGCACAAGGCCCTGGGTTCGGTCCTCAGCTCCGAATTAAAAATAAAATAAAATAAAATAAAATAAAATGCTTCTTTCAGACAGAGCAGAAACCTCACAATCAACCGCTGACCCCCAAGCAGGCCAAAACTAAGCCTCAGACTTCCCCACTCACCCAATGCCGAGCTAAAAGATGTGAGGAAAGCGATTTCTACCCCGCCAGCCCTCCTTTACTGGGGAGGAATTCACAGAATATTAAACTGAGAACGTGGCTCAGTGGTACAGCCTGTATCGCAGAAGCTCCCGGATTCCATCCCAACAGGACAAAAACAAACAAATGCAAACCTCAGGCCGTCCAAATGATAATTACATCATCGTAGACGCACAACTTCAGGACCGTAACACGAAGAATCAGTGGTTTGGTGTGCTCTGAACCTATACCGGTCTCTTAAAAACCATCAGAATATCAGGCAGGGCGCACGCTGCCTGTTTCAAAGCAATCCTCCTTTCTTTTCTTTTTTTTACATTTACTTATTGGGGTAGAGGTGTGCTCACGTGCCACAGCAGGGGTGTGGAAGTCCGAGAACAACTTGCTAACCAGAGTCGGCTCCCCGCTTCGACCATCGCCAGGCGCCTTGACCCGCTGCGCCATCCCCTCGGCCCCATCCAGCCTGTTCCAGCCCTGAGAAACCAGGCACAGAGGGGACGTGACTTGCCCAAGGTCCCACAGTTGACCTTCTAGATTCACGCCTAGGTTTGGTCTAGCCGCCAGGCTGCACTGGAAAAGGAACCGGGCCTCCAGGGCAAGGCCCGGCCGCCAGGCGGGAACCAGGAGCCGGCCCAAGCAGCCAGCCCATCCCCCACTCACCGCAGGGGAAACTGAGGCCTGCAGGAGCCAGGCGGCCCAGCCTCCGAGGCCCGGATTCTGCCTCCCCAGCACCCCAGCAGAGGAATGTCACGTAGGGGCCGGGAGGACCTCGCTGTAAGGCGCAGTAGGCGACACTCACCTGGAGCTGCGGAACCTTGCCTCAGCCTCTCTCTCTCTACTCCTGCCTCGCTGGGCTGTGGCCACGCCCCCTCGTGCCACGCCCACAAAACTCGCTGAGTCACACAGCGCCCCCTGCCGCTGCGGAGGTGCATAGCAGAACAGTTTTCCTCTTCTCCACCTCCCAGAAACTGGGGCCTGGAGCTGGCTCTACCACTGATTTTCCCGCCCTCTTTACCTTTTGTTTTTTCTTCTTCCCTCCTCTACAATACCTTCCTCCCTCCAGTTTTGTCTTTTTTTTTTCTTTTTGTTGTTGGGTGTTTTTTTTTTGGCAACCAGATCACCTCTCTCATTCAGTATTTGTGTTCTACACACTGCTGTTCAAAACGTTGAGTGTATGGCAGAACAGACAGAATTTCTGCACCCAAAAGCTTCAGTTCTATTACAAGAGATGATGATGATGCACACCTTTATTCTAGACTCAAAAGGCAGAGGCAGGCCAGCTCTCTGTGAGTTCAAGGCCAGTCTGGTCTGCACAGTGGTTCCAAGCCAGCGAGGGTTACCAAGTGACACCCTGTCTCAAAATACAATGACACTAATCCAAGATCCCATCACCCGTGGTTGCGACACACATGACCACCGATAAAGGTCACATATACGCATACACACCTAACCAAGGTTTTCTGACGTTGTTTATCTCTGTGAGGGTGCTCACTGTGAAATAGTGTAGCCTACGAGCCGGTGAACAGCAAGGCAGTGAAGGACCTTCTGCCTGCTGGTTTCTCCTCGGGGCGGTGCTAGAGTGTGTGTGTGTGTGTGTGTGTGTGTGTGTGTGTGTGTGTGTGTGTGTGTGTGTGCTTTGTTTTGTTTTTGTCTTTGTGATATTGATGAATCTATGATCAGTTCATTTCTGAAGACTGGTTACTGAGTGAACCATTGTAAGCATCTATTAATATCATATCCAGAAAACAATAAAACCCATTAATGTAAGAAAACAGTTACACAAAACAATTATTTATTATTTCCATCCCTACCCCCAGTGCTAAGGATTAAATCCAAGTTCTTGGACATCCTAGGCAAGCTATGTACCAACAAATTAATAAGTAAATTGTTACTTACTACATTGACACTCCAGTAAGTAACCTCAATACTTGGTTTGCCAAGTTGGACTTTGGTGGAGTCATTAATGTGGGCTGTCCTTGGCTCCTTATCTCTCTTTCTTTTTTTTTTTTTTAAAGATTTACTTATTTTATGTATGCATGCCCTATCTGCAGAAGAGGGCATCAGATCCCATAGAAGTGGTTGTGACCCGCCATGTGGTTGCTGGGAGTTGAACTCAGGACCTCTGGAAGAACAGCCAGTGCTCTTAACCGCTGAGTCATCTCTCCAGCCCCCTTATTTGTCTCTTCAGTTTGGAGATTATAAATGTGTACCACCACACTCAGCTCTCTCCATCTTCCCAGTATGGTTAGTGAGCAGAAAACAAGGAGTATGACCAGAGTGAGAAAGGACCATGGAAAATAGAAGCAGGAATGACAGGGTGGTGCCTCATGCAGAATTCTGAGTGAAAACTATTTTACATGTCAACTCAGCCATGCCAAGGATTAGTTCATCAAACACTAGTCTAGACCACTCTAAGAAGGTGTTTTTGAGTAAATGTTAATGATTAAATCAGATTTTGAGGGGCTGGAGAGATGGCTCAGGGGTTAAAAACACTGGCTGCTCTTTGAGAGGTCCTGAGTTCAATTCCCAGCAACCACATGGGAGCTCACAACCATCTATAAGAGGATCTGATGCCCTCTTCTGGTGTGCAGGTTTACATGCAAAGCAATCATACGTAAAATATAAATAAATAAAATTTTTTAAAAATCAGATTTTGAATAAAGCAGATCATCTGCTATAAGATAGATGGACCTCATTCAGTCAGTTGAAGGACTCACTAAAACAAGACTGACTGCCCTCTCCAAGCAAAAAGGAAACTTCTAGAAGGCCTTCAGATGTGAACTGCAACAAGATTGGCTTCTGCATGGGTCTGCAGCCTGAGGGCTACCCTGATGATTCTAAACACACGAGCCTCTACAATCATTTAAGCAGTTTCTTTTTACACACACACACACACACACACACACACACACACACAATTGTATTCTTTGGAGAACCCAGAAAAATGCGATTCATTTTCATCCTTTTTTATAACAGTGAACTATTTTACTAAGTTAATGCCTATTACTTGGGGACTCATTAAATATCCACTTGAGCACAAGTAGAAAGATAGCCATGCCTTATTAAAAATGAAGAAAGTGGCAACACTCCAGTAGCAAAATATGATTTCATTCATGGTTCTTTAAAAAGAAAAAAAAAAGGAAAGAAAGAAAAGCCAGCAATGGTGATACACATCTATAATCCCAGCACTCAGGAGGCGGAGGAGGAGAGGGGGGAGGAGGAGGAAGAGGATGAGGATGAGGAGGAGGAGGAGGAAGAGGAAGAGGAGGAGGAGCACAAGTTCAAAGCAGATTGGGCTACAGTGAGGTCCAGGCCAGCTTGGAGTGCTGTCTCACAAACCAAAGAGGAGAGGACTGAGGATGTAGTTTACCTGGTAGAGTGCTGCCTGGCATACACAAGCTCTGAGTTCAGGCCTCTATAGTACACAATCTGGGTGAGCTGGCACACATCTGTAGTCCTGGCACCTCGGAGGAGAGGCCTGGAGAATCAAGAGCTCAGATCCGCACACAGCTACATAGCAATTATGAGGTCAGCCTGAGATACATAGCATCCTGCCTCAAAAGTAATGATAATAAAGCCAGGCAGTGGTGGTGCCTGCCTTTAATCCCAGCACTCAGGAGGCTGAGGCAGGTGGATCTCTATGAGTTCAAGGCCAATCTGGCCTACAACGTGAGTTCCAGGACAGCCAGGACTGTTACACAGAGAAACCCTGTCTCAAAAAACAACCAACAAAAAGGTAATAATAATAATAAAAAGAGCCGGGTGGTGGTGGCGCACGCCTTTAATCCCAGCATTTGGGAGGCAGAGGCAGGTGGATCTTTGTGAGTTCGAGGCCAGCCTGGTCTACAGAGCGAGATCCAGGAAAGGCGCAAAGCTACACAGAGAAACCCTGTCTCGAAAAACCAAAAAAAAAAATAATAATAATAATAATAATAATAATAATAATAATAATAATAAAAAGAAAGAAAAGAATAAAGTCTCTACGTACACAGATGTGCATTAGTATATCCACCAAGACTATGTAAGCAGAGGCAGTCAAATGGCTTAGCTGGTAAAGGCACTTACCATGCAAGCCTGACAACCCTGCTCTGAAACTCACAGATGTTTTGGGCTTTCCTAATCTTTCTCTAGAGCCCCTTCGCTGCCATGTGGCTGACCTCCATGCCAGTTTAATCTTCCCCAGTCTTCTCCGGACAGCTGCAAGATTTACAGCTTCCCTGCCCTGGGTCTTTTTGGAGTTGTTTTGCTTTGTTTGAATCTAATAAATTGTCCTCAAACTTCCATTTGAGCCCCTTCTTAAATTCTTATTAATGAGAGAGACTAAGAACCCTGATTTTTCCAAGGCTTCTTTAACCCTTTAACCGATGGAGAAAGTGAACCTGTTCCTGCACCCAACCCACAGCATCAAGCAAACGTTTCTCCTTGTCTCCCTGGAGGAAGTCACACAATAGTCTAAATTAAAGTGAAGAATGTCTGTCCTTCACTGATGATATGAATATATATAAAGAGATGACGCCTTCACTGAATAGAACCAAGATTAACGCACAGGAATGGTCAGCAGTGAAACGGCAGGAGGCCGGGCAGATACATCTCTGAAGGTGACTTTTGTCTGGGCCAAGCTGGAGCTCAACCTCAGGGCCTTGTGCCTAGGGAAGTGCTCTCTTCCTTAGCCTTGAAGATGGCACTTAGTGAGGTATTATTTCATCCCCACGTGAACTGCAAGAATTAAAGAGTCACACCGCCAAGTAAAAGCAGACAGTAAACGCCCTCTTGAGAGGATCTAAATATATACTAAACCATGGGTTACTGGGTAGCCACCCATACTAAACTGTGGGATTTCTTTACATTACAGATTTGGTGGCAATGAAGTAATTTTGTAATCTGCATCAACATCTTTCTTTAAAAAGGAATGGGGAATGGCATTCATCTTTAGATGCCTTAGCACAGGGGTTCTCAACCTCCCTAATGCTGTGACTCTTCAATACGGTTGCTCATGTTGTGGTGACTCCCAATCAGAAAATTACTTTTGTTACTACCTCCCAACTGTAATTTTGCTTCTGCTATCAATCATAATGTAAATATCTGTGTTTTCCAATAGTGTTAGGTGACCCCTGTGAAAGGGTCAGACCCCCAAATGGGTCACAACCCACAGGTTAAGAGTACTAGCAGTTTCTACCTGAGGATTTCAGTTCTGAGCACTCACATGATGATACAACCTCTACAACTCCAGTTCTAGGGGGAATATAACGCCCTCTTCTGGTCTCTGTGAGCACTGCAGGCAAAACATCAATACACAGAAAATAAAATCTTAAAAAATATAAAAGAAAAGGGTAGAGTAGAAAAATGTGAAGAAGCATCACAAGTCAGGATGGATACGTTTATCTTTACTTTATCACAATATAAAACACACTTATTGCGCAGAGTAGAGAGGTAAAATACCCACTGCCTTTTAGCCACTACCCAGGAGAAACCCTGGTATGTGCACTCTGGGAAACCTGTTCAGGCAGTATAGGCTCATGAAAGAAATCAGTTAGAAGAGAAAAACCAACAACCCAAATGTCCATCAACACAGTGCATGCATCTGTAATGAAGGCAAGGGATGTGTTGGGGAACATTATTTTAAGATGTGTTACTTTTGTTCATGTTGCATTTGTTTAACTCTATAAAGCTGTATTACTGTGCCTGTGTAAAACACCTGATGGTCTAATAAAGAGCTGGCCAATAGCAAGGAAGGAGAAAGGATAGGCAGGGCTGCCAGGCAGAGAGAATAGAGAGAGAGAAATCTGGGAGGAGAGATCAAAGAACTAGCCAGAGAAGGAGGACATCAGGG